CGCGGGGGCCCCGGGGCCGGCGGTGCCGGGGTCATCGGGATGATGCGGACGCAGTGTCTGCTGGGGCTGCGCACGTTCGTGGCCTTCGCCGCCAAGCTCTGGAGCTTCTTCATTTATCTTTTGCGGAGGCAGATCCGCACGGTGAGCCTGGGTGGTCGCTGGTGGCGGTGGGGACAGCTGGCCATGATGCCCACAGGCTTCCGAGAAGTGGTGGGCCTCTGCTTAGGCCTCGGAGGGGAGTCCTACCTGGGCTTCTCCTGCTAGAGAATTGGGGCGCCTTGAGCACGGTATCGGTGGGGTGGAGAGGTAAGGGCGACCCTTATAATTAGGAGCACAGATGTGCGGGACCTTGACGGCCTAGATCGGGACAGCATCCGGCAATTCTTGGGGCTAGAGTGGTGGATGGGGCGCTCCTTTAAGAAAGCTGAAGTTGTTGCTAAAGAAACCAAGAGGCGCCGAACACCTGTTTGATGGCATCAGCTCTGGTTCATGTGGGTTTGTGAGAGACCCTCCTATTGGGGATCTCTGAGTTTGGAAGTTTAACAAGGGTGAGACAGGCTTGTGGGTGGTGGGTGGGTGAGAGGGCATGTGTAACAAGGATGGCAACTTGGGAAAAGCCCTGGGTGTGAAGGAGAAACTCCTGCTAGGGAACACCTCCCAAAGCTCCGGATCTTAATTCCTGGGGGTGGGGGTGGTGTGTGTGTCTGTCTGTCTTTACTGAAACCCTGGGACTCTACAAGGTACCTTTATGATTGGCTTATTTAGCTGTGGGAGGAAGCACACTAAAGTTGGGGTGTCCCTACTCAAAGAAGCTGCTTGTTGGCTGTCAATGTGTATTCTGAGGGCACAGTTGTTTATCCAGAGAGCTAGCATCGCTGGGGAATGGAGACTGCATATTCCCAGATTTCTCTGTTCCCTCCTCCTCATCTTCAAGGTCAAAGCTCCTTTTAGGCCAACATGAACTTGCCCCTGTGTTCTCACCAGCACTGGGGAGAATCCTGGAGAAATTGGAGGAAGTTCAGGGAATTGGGGTACAAATACCATTGGTTCTCCTAGCACATTTCAGTAAAAGCTGAAGGACTAAAACCAGGTAGGGCCTGCTCACATCAGCTGGATTTCCAGACATCCCAGGCGCTAGTGGTCGTTGACTTGTTGATTTGGAAGAGGAGATGAGGCGGGCCTGGCCCTTGCTTCATTCTATGTCAAGTCTACCTCTTCCAAACCCAGATTTAAGATGAGGATTGTTCTGATCAAGGCTGCAAGGGGCTATTTCCCCTGAGATTGGGTTAGGAGCCAAGAGGAACTGGGGTCAGAGATGCTTAAGTGTGTGGGGGGCTAGCCCTGGGTTTTTTTTCCTTGTGTAGTGAGGGTTGCCCTCTCTGCCCGACCTTGTTCTGAGCAGTCCTTTGGCATACCCACCTCGCTCTCATAAACACCGATTTCCTGCCCCAGCTACGGCGAGGAATGCTTCAGCCCATCCTGAGACCGCTCCGAAACGTGCACCCCTTTGGGCAGTGTTGACCCACCCCACAGCCTTTTGTCTTCCCCTCCCTTCCAATCCGCTTCTCCCCCCCACCCCCTTTCTGGCAGATGTGTGGAGCATTCCCTGCATGCCCAGAGTGTGCAACCTGAGACAGCAGGCAGGACACCCGAGCTGTTTCCGCCCTCATGGCCCAGGGAGAAATGAAGAAGGGCAGATGCCTTGGGATTAAGGGGAGAGGGACCTTTGGTTTTCAAGTGGGGAGCCTGTTGTTGGTGCGGCTCAGGATCTAGCATTTGTCTTAGAAGGAGAGAGCAGAGGAGCGAGTGGCCAGGCTTTCTATGGGGAGATCTGGGTGTTAAGAAATAGAAGCCCCAAGAGGAGGCTTGGAGAAGCAGGGACGTTAAGGCTGAAGCAAGTGGTGAACTTCTTGTCCCTCCCTCACCTCTCACTCAGCCCTTACTTCACCCTGGCTGTCACCGTACCCTGTCAGTTGTCCTGGCAAGTGGAGCTTTCCAATGTTCTCTGCTTTGCCCTAAGTACCTGACTGTTCGGAGGGCGGAGGTTCTCTGCAGCTTGTGACTTGGCTAGTAGAGACAGAAGTGGACAGGTGGTCGATTAAAATAGACCTGGTGGCCCTCCGCCAGAGGGACTTAGTTGACCTGACAATCTCTGGATCCTCTCAGCCTCCCTTCCCTTCAAGGGTCCAAGGTCTCCCCTCCTGAGCCCTACACTTCCTTGTCCACTGAGAAATCTGAGACTCTGCGTTTTCATCTTGAGAGTGGGGAGTTGGCACAAAGCACCATTGGGGAAGAGGGTGGGGTGGCACGCTTTCTTGGTTCAGTATCACAGGATAATATGGTTAATTAAGAATGCAGGTTCTTGGTCAGCCTACGAGGGGACAATCCTGGTTACCCTACTTCATTGATTTATCAGCCACCAACTCCTCATAGTTCTTGTTATGGGCTCTCTTGGTGACCCTGGGTTTGCAGAACAGACCTACTCCACAGAGTTTTTTTTAAGGCTGAGACCTGGAAGCAGCTCTCTAGGCCTGCCTTCCAAGGCACCTCTAGTAGTTTTGAACTACTAGCCTTTTGGTTAGCTGCCAGATCCTAACTCTTAGGGACTCCTGCTACACTGCTCTAGGCACTAGGAATACAGCTGTCAACAAGGTCAAACTGCCCGTTTTCCTTCTAACTGGGAGACAAGGCAGTTTCCAGCTGTGCGACCTCAACTTCGTTACCATTAAAAATTGGGAATAATAGCATGATTGTTATTAGGCTTGTTTTATCTTATTTTCTACTAGGCTTGTTTTAAAGCTTAAGTGAGATAATCCTAAATCATTTGCATAACACCTGGCATATATGATGTTTGATACTGGTTACCATTATCAGGAGTCCCTGGGTGACACCAAAAGGTTGGCAGTTCAGATCTACCCAGAAGCGCCTCGGGAGAAAGGCCTGGCAGTCTACTTCCGAAAGATCACAGCCATTGACCACCCTGTGGAGCACAGTTTTCTCTGACACACTCGGGGTTGACATAAGTCCGAATCAGTAACTTTTTGTTTTTATTGTTATTGGTGAAGATTTCCTTGTCAAGGGCCTACTTCTTTTCCTTGCTATTCTTAGGTAATCCAGTACCAAACTGTTCGATATGACATCCTTCCTTTATCCCCTGTGTCCCGGAATCGGCTAGGTGAGTCTATTGGCTGGGAAGACTTCAAAAATGTGAAGAGGGTTCCGGCCTCTGGGCTGGAGATGTGTTGGTATTATCCCTTACCTTTGTGGTTCAGGCCAAGTGAAAAAGAAGATCCTGGTACTGGATCTGGATGAGACACTTATTCACTCACACCATGACGGGGTTCTGAGGCCCACAGTCCGGCCTGGAACACCTCCTGACTTCATCCTCAAGGTTTGTGTGGAGGGGTGACCACGACTTTGCTCGTAGGCAGACTCTGCTTCCATCCGAGAGCATCTCATCCCATCGCCTGGCATCAGCATCCCCCTAGAGGGCCGGTGGGTGTTTCTTGCAGGCCCGTGTGGTGGTGCTCAGGAGTCCCCACCCTTCACTGTTCCTCTATAGGTGGTAATAGACAAACATCCTGTCCGGTTTTTTGTACATAAGAGGCCTCATGTGGATTTCTTCTTAGAAGTGGTGAGTTTGTGGGAGTGCAAGGGAACTTTGGGGTAAAGGACTGCTTTTAAGGCTCTGGGAACTTAGGAAACTTGGAGGAATTAAGGATAAAGAAAAATGGATAAGGGGAGTTTGGGAGAAGGGAAATGCAGGATGATAAATAGGGGAATTGCATGAAAGTGTTTGGGATTTTTTGTTGTCTGGTTTAATTCTATCAATCCACAGACATCCTGCTTTTTCTTTTTTTTTTCTTTTTGTTCTTGGATCTCTGATTCTTAAGGGCGTAGGATGCCTAAGTGCTGAATTTAGGGTTTTGGAGAGGGATTTGGAATTTTGGGTCCTGAGACACATTTGATATTGCAGGAGCCCTGAAGGACTAGGCCTGAGTCCTAGAGAAAAGGAATTGTATGTGTAAAGATAACAAGCATTACTTATCTCTGACCACTTCTTTTCCCCCAATCTGTTTCAGGTGAGCCAGTGGTACGAGCTAGTGGTGTTCACAGCGAGCATGGAAATTTACGGTTCTGCTGTGGCAGACAAACTGGACAACAGCAGAAGCATCCTCAAGAGGAGGTACTATAGACAGGTAAGGGGCTGGAATCTAGATGGGAGATTGGGGGAGGCACGCCACTGGGGAGAGACGTGCATTTCAGGCAGTTGCCTTGGAATGGGGGCTTGGGGAATATGTGTAATCCCCTCTTTCGGAATTGGTTGTTGATGGGTGTTCTGTTCAATTCGGATTGGGGGAGTAGCCACCAAGGGCGAGTCTCCCTTTTGATGCCCAGCTCACCCTGCCTTCCAGCACTGCACTTTGGAGTTGGGCAGCTACATTAAGGACCTCTCTGTGGTCCACAGTGACCTCTCCAGCATTGTGATCCTGGATAACTCCCCAGGGGCTTACAGGAGCCATCCAGGTATGGGGGGGTGGGGGGGGAAGGTGGTGAGGCTGCCAGGACCAGGAAGTGGTTCTGAGGAGGCATTCTGATTGCATGGAACTAGGAACCAGGAGGCCTTAAACAGTCCTTAAGAATGGGGTTTCTCTGGTTTGCTAGGAGTCTGGATGCAAGTTATTTCTCCTATTTCAAATGGGACACTCGCCCCTCCCATTTCATAAATATTTCTCAGATTTGTTTCTAGGGGGCACATGACAATACGTTTGAATAGAAGTCTCCTAGGATGAAATCTAGGCAATTTAAAAGTTAATGTGGAGGGCAAATCAAAAATGGTTTACTTCTGTTGTGGAATTGGTGGGGCAGTGTGTCTTTAAAAAAACCGACCTTCCCTCCGTTCCCCTGACCGAAAAAATACTGTCTTTCTTGAATCGTTTGCCTCTCCCATCTGCATTTTCCCTTATGCCAGACAATGCCATCCCCATCAAGTCCTGGTTCAGTGACCCCAGTGACACGGCTCTTCTCAACCTGCTCCCAATGCTAGATGCCCTCAGGTAATGGAAGTAGCCTCTGCTTTGGATGACTGTGGGTCCCCAGGGAAGATGTTTGTCTGTTTTTACTTACTACTACTAACCACGCGATTGGTGGTTCACTGCTACCCTCATTTTCCAACCCTCCCCCCCCTTGACAGTGAGGTTATCTGCTACCTTAAAGCCTTGGACACCCTGTATTGGAATCAACTCAAAGCCTGTGGGTTTGGTTTGGGGCTCTTCCCTTAGAACTGAGTGCTTGAATGCAGGTCTTTGTGCCCCAAAGCTTAGCACTTTGAGGTACTGGGTTTTGGGAAAACCTGAACCTCATTCTTCTCTGGAAAATGATGACAGCTTGTGCGCTGTATATCCAACGAGGCTGTCTTTCGTGATGGCTGTCAGGCTATTACTCTATGGCACTTTACTAATGCAAGCTGTTCTCATCCCAGGTTCACCGCTGATGTGCGTTCTGTGCTGAGTCGAAATCTTCACCAACATAGGCTCTGGTGACAGCTGCTCCCCCTCCACCTGAATTGGGGTGGGGGGGAGAGGGAGGGTGAGCCCTTGGGATGCCGTCTGATCCCTTGTCCAATGGTGAGGACTGCCTGGGCAGGGTCTGGCCCTCCCACCCTCTCTGCCCTGGGAGCCACACACTCCACCTGGAGTCTGGATGGACACATGGGCCAGACTCTGAAGCAGCCTCACTGTAACATTGTGTTCCCACTCCCGGGAAAACCCAGACTGGGATGCAGGCCGAGACCTGGGAATGCAGAAACAGTGTCTGTGGTGGAGAGGCCGGACTGGCCAGATTGAAAGGGACACACACAGAGACAGACGGGCGGTGATCCTGGAGGCTCAAAGAGAAGCCAAACCAGCTTTGTTGTGATTTGATTTTTTAAAAACTCTTGTACAAAACTGATCTAATTCTTCACTTCTGCTCCAGGGGCTGGGCTGTGGGTGGGAAAATGGGATTTGGGGCCATTGGGTTATCCCAGACTTGTCCCTCCCTCCCTTCCCTTTTTCTCTCTTCTTAGATTTCCTCAGATCTGTAACCAGCTTTCTCTCTCTCTCGCTTTTATTTTCCTTTCCCCTCTCTCAAGCCATGCATTATAACTTTGAACCCAAAGCTGCCCCAGGCCCTTCTCTGGGGTTTGGGAAAGGAAGAGATGGACCTGTGGCCAAAAGCAGAATGAACTGCAGGGCCCGAAGGGAAGGTGGTGTGGAGTGGTTGGCAACAATGACAGCGGCGGCTCTGGGCAGGAAGGGTCCCTAAGCGAGTGGGAAGTGAGGGAGCGGTGGAACTGGGAACTTGAGCTAACAGACCGACAAGAGGATGACGAGAAACCAGCACGGCCTGCAAGGCAGACGTTTGGGGGAAGCTGTGCATATAAAACTAGGCGCGAACAAGCTATTTGGGGTGCCGGTCCAGGCGGTAGATGTGCAAGCGCCTCAGCTCCCCCGGAACTAAGTGAGGCCTAAGCCCACTCACCGCTCCAACCCGGCCGGCTCCACCTCCCCGGGGCCGGTATCGCAAAGCCGGCTCTACTTCCGTGCGCCCGCCACGTGACGCTCCGCCCGCTTGAGTCACATGATTCGTGCATTAGCCGAAAGGTGTCCTTCCGCGCTGACGTAGTCCCTACCTTTCAGACCTCGCCGAGCCCCATTGGTGCACTCATTTCTGGAGTCCCAGCTCCTCACCCCCCTCCTGCCCTGTCTTCAAATCCATACCCTCTTTTACGACCAGAGGCCGCCTCTTCCATTTGGGCACTACTTTGTTTTGGTTGTAAACGGCCGCTTGCGTACCAACGCACTTCGTGCATATTTCTTGTAGTCATCTCTGCATGTTAAGAGCCTCTGGGCGGCCCAAACTCAAATTATGATGACCATAGCCTACCTCTTTCCATCCCTGGTTTCGTGGGGGAAAGTTAGGAGAGGCACTGTCAGTTAATTTTGACGGTGAGGGCCAATCCTCTTTGCTACGTTGCCTGCGTAGCGTCCAAACTGATCCGAAGCGATTACGCCGACAGCGTAAGGGCGGGGCTACGCCGGCGGCGTCCGGGCCGCTGCGCTAGTGGCGTGTTCCGGCGGGTGGGGCGGCCCTCGGTGGCCGGGGGCGGGGTTGGTGAATAGGGAAGTGGCGCAAGGCCTGGGGATCGTTCCGCGGAATCCGCCTGCGAGTCGCCTCCGTCGCCGCCGCCCCTTGCCCCGGCCCCCCCGGGTTCCCTCAGCCCCACCCGGTCCAGCCCGGTTCCCGGGAGGATGAAGTTCGTGTATAAGGAGGAGCATCCGTTCGAGAAGCGCCGCTCTGAGGGCGAGAAGATCCGAAAAAAATATCCGGACCGGGTCCCGGTAAGGACAGTAGACAGGGCCGCGGACGCGACGCTGACGCCACAGCCTGGGCTGTGGGTCCCTGGCGGGCAACCCGGGGATTGGACTGCAGACTGGGTCGGGGTTGGGAGGGAACCCGAAACTGCTGCCCCTGGGGTCGGCGGCGAAAGGAGTAGGGGTAGCAACAGGGCTAGGGGATTCGTGGGTGGGAGGGAGAGAGACCTTGGGATTCGTTTGAGCTGCGACGATAGGGAGTTTGACAGTCTGAGCAGCTCAGGGCCTCGCTTTAGCTGTCGAGGTTTGCGATCTTGGAGAACTAATCGATCCCGACAAGCCATCGCAGCCTGATAAAGATCGTAGCTGTTTATCATGTATTTAGGAATTTGGCTTAATAATTTAGGTGAACTGGAGTCGGCAGGGTCAAGATTGCTAGGCTTAGTGCTGTATTGCGTGTGCAAAGACAAAGAGAAAAGAGTCTGGGGGAGGTTTGGGGAGCTAGGAAGAGTGTCGTTTGAGCTGTGGGGCTTTTTACCTAATATCACAATTTCATCTTCCCTTTTATCAGGTGATAGTAGAAAAGGCGCCCAAAGCTCGGATAGGTGACCTGGACAAAAAGAAATACCTGGTACCGTCTGATCTCACAGGTGGGAACCTGACCCAAGACCCCCACCGGCTCTCTGTGGGTGGGAGTGCAACCTCTGAACTGAGGCTCTGCATTGAGCATGTGTGCCCTCTGTGACTGTGTACCTTGCATCTTTGGCAGTCGGTCAATTCTACTTCTTGATCCGGAAGCGAATTCATCTCCGAGCTGAAGATGCCTTGTTTTTCTTTGTCAACAATGTCATTCCACCCACCAGTGCCACAATGGGTCAGCTATACCAGGTATGTGAGCCAGGAAGTAGGGGGAGCTTTGGGCAGGATTTTTTTTTCTTTCTTCAGGTGGTGAAACTTTATTCATTAACTATAAACTTTATATGCATTTGTTTCTTCACAGATTTCTGAACAATAAATATTACAACACACAATGTAATGACTTTGCACAACATTTTGGGGCTTGATTTTCCATTCCTGCTTGGCCCTAAAGACTGTTATTAAAATTGCATTACTCTTCATGGTCAGCATTATGCTTAACTTTCTTTTTTTTTTAGAGAAGAGTAGATTATTATTATTTTTTAAAATCATTTTATTAGGGGCTCATACAACTCTTATCACAATCCATACACAAATCAATTGTGTAAAGCGCATTTGTACATTCATTGCCTGGGCAGGATTTTCGGAAGAGTTTGCTAGGGTGAAAACTTTAGGCCAGCAGTTCTTGGGCTTGTTTATCGATCAGTTTTACTGTTGACCTTAAAAGTAAAAATAGTTCTGGGTGGAGCCTTTGGATAGGACAATTGGAGAACAGGGAAGAGTGAGCATCATGGGGAATCTTCCTTGTCTCCCTTCTTTATTCTAAGGCAGCAGATACCAATTTTGGGGTTTTTGTTTGTTTGTGTGTGTATGTAGTGGTGGTTGTTTTTACAAAGGATTGCTACTAAGCGTAATACTGTCCCACATCCAGAACCAGGAGCTATCCAAGGGAGTTAGGCACTGGTTTGGTCAACAGGATTGGGTTTTGAAGAATGTCAGACCGACAGTGGTTTGAATAGCAAAAGCCTGAGCATCATTCGTTTCTCCTTTCACCCTAGGAACACCACGAAGAAGACTTCTTTCTATACATTGCCTACAGTGACGAGAGTGTGTACGGTCTGTGAAGCCGCTGCCCTGGAGTTGGGGGTGTTCCATTCTGCAAAGAGAAAGGTGGCCCCCCTTTCTTGACCCATCCCTTCTTCAGGCTCAAGTACCACCTCCCTT